AAATGAAGAAACTTCAGTTACTCAAGTTCTGTCTTGGAAGACTGGGAACCTGGTGTAAAAGTCTAGAGTCACATGATCTCCTGTGATCTGGCTTCTTATACTTCACTGAGGTTGAGTCTTGCCTCTGGCTAACACACATATTTACCTGAAATCACTTGCTTGGTTTTGCTCCTGTTTGCAGTTTAAGCAAGAGTGAGGTTTCTTTAAGACTTGCTTGGTTTTGTTGCTCAATAACCTTTCAAACGCAGTCTGCATTATAATGAGGCTTTAGGAAACACTGAGGAAGTAACACTCAAAACCACAAGATGTCACTTCATACCCACCGGGACAATGACTACACAAAACAAAAACAAATAAATGTGAACCACATTTTAAAAAACTTAGATATTTGTGCAGTGCAGCTAAGAACAGAGAATTATACTACCTCATGGAGAATAGTCTTGGTGTCTTATAAATGAATAATAACATTTGATCCAAGAATTCTGCTTTGATTATATACAACACACAGATAAGGGCTTGGACAGACCTTTGAGCAGCAATGATCATGGCAGTCATACTCACAACACCTAAAATGTGGAAATGACCCACTCTCTCATCAACAGATCATCTACAGATATGTACATTAACACAGTGTGATAGCCCACACAATAGAATATTATTCAGCCAGAGAAAGGAATAAAACTGTACTTTAAACTGCAACATGGATAAGCCTTAGGACATTATGCCAAGGAAGGAAGACTGTGCAGAATCCTGAGATTTTAGGTAACAGGGGACATCACAGGTTCTCTGCAACTTAGTCCCATATATGAGAATAAGAACATAGCATGAAAATGCATAGAGCCCTATATGGTTTATAAATCTCACATCCACCCTAAACATCAACGAAGAGGATTCTGACTATCTACTTATGTTTAATAAGTTAGTGAGATAGAAACTAAATTTATTTTAAATTGGTATTTGCCAAGCCCTTGTGCTGAAATTTTCTCATTTGATTCCTACACAGAAAAGATGCTCTTCTGACTACAGTTGCCTGTGAGCCTGGCCAGGGACTCTGTATCTGTGGTCCCAGCTAAGGCAGGCAGGCTCCCTCCCAGGGCTGTTCCCACAGCACTTGCCTGTGGCCTGAGTTGAAGCTGCCAGAGCAGGGGAGCCTGGAGTGCCAGGCTGCCACTTTGCATCTGTCACTTATCAAAGGAAACAAACTGAGCTTCAGAGACCTAAAGCCAGCCACAGACCCCTGCAGACCAGACAAACACCTGCCTCTCCCTCAGGAGCCACTTTGAAAATCAAGTCCAGGTTCCACACACTGGAAAAAAAAAAATCACATGCTGTAGCAAAAGTGAAACTGAAAGTAGAGTACTCCAAAGCCCTGTTGACTTAGCCAAGATGCTGGAGGGCAGGAGAGCCAGTGAGTTACTCTGCTGGCTGAGGGACCCACTGTGGAGAGCTTTTACATTCTCTTTCCCTCTCCAGTGTCCTTGATACAGAAAATACACAGTAAACCTGAGGCACCAACTGAGGGAAACTCCACAATCCGGGGCTGATGCAAGCATGTTTCTCTCAGTGGAAATTCCTCATGCTTCCTTAGTGAAGAGCTTTAATGTTTTTAAGCCGTCTTCTAAAACAGAAACGATTCATCTCAACACGGTTTTTAAAAGAAGTGATTAGAAAATACTAAGAAGGGTCCGCGAGATAGCTCATGGGGAAGCGCTCTGCAGGCTGCAGCTGGACAAGCTGGTGACACAACTCCATCTGTGGACCCACGCCGAGGTGGAGGAGAGAACTGACTCCACAGAGTCGTCCTCTCACCTCCACATGGGCGTCCTGGCACAGGGACACACAATAGACACATTTGAAAAAAGAAAAGAAGTAAAGATAAAATGAATAACCCTTAACTGTAATAAATAGAAATACTCACTGTTGCCCTTTTGTCTAAATTCTTGTCTTTCCCCACTACACAGACTCTGCCCTTTCTGCAGAAATGTGGCTAGTTGGCCCAGTTTCAAAGGCATTTAGCCAGAGGAGAAAGCTATTGAGTGTGTGTGTGTCTGTGGAGTACAGAAATGAACTAAGTGCACAGTAGGAAGACGGTGGGTGGAGTTGGGGAAGCCCAGGGACGTCACACTGTGTAAGGAGAGCATCCATGTCCCTCTGCTTCTCCGTGAACCCTCCCCTCCTCTGTGCAAACTCCTCCTGCAAACGGTGAAACAGCATCTTAAGGCTGCCTTGCAGATCCATGGCTAGCGTGTCCATGTGTCACTGGCGAATGAGTGGGGGTAACTGCTGCCTACAAGATTCTATTTTTGAATCAGACTCACTTTCCTTTCGACCTTTGATTTCTGTTTATATGATGCTATAATATGTAGAAAATTGTCACTATTCCAGGTATTATTATCTTACAGGTTACCCAGTAATTCAAATCCAGGGCTCTATTTCTATGGCTATTTAAGGAATAATGTACAAAATCTTTTTTTTTTCTTAAAGAAGAAAGAGAGAGAGAGAGAGAGAGAGAGAGAGAGAGAGAGAGAGAGAGAGAGAGAGAGGATTTCTTCCTCCTGTTTGATTTTCGTCCAGGTGAGTTCTTACTGGATACCTGAGCTATCCACCCCCCATGTCTACACAACTCATAATCTATCTCTGAATAACATACAGCTGTTCAGAACTCTAAGATAAGTGAAAGATAGATATGCTGATGGAACGTGGTTAGCTGTAACACAAAAGAGGCTGACTTGAACACAGGGCACCAGCGACCGTCTGCAGGACCCTTTGAAACAGCGAGGAAGCCTAACATCTGTGTGCAGCATGTGACCTTAGCTAGCTTGGGTGGCGTAGATGAAGGGGAAGTTTGTAAACAGAGACTTTGAGCGGATATTCTGCCAGCATTTTCTAGATGAAGCCTGCCCACTCTAAGCAGGGATAAGGAACAGCAGTTTCCCCGTGTGTCAGAGGAAAGCGCTTGCACATGCTGCCACCGTGTGGCAACTCAAAATGACTGTCTTGAAGAATTTACTAAGATCATCCATGTTATCATGAACAATTTATAACATATTATAAATAGGAATTATATAACAAAGTAGAGGTTATAATCAATTGGAAAAAGCTACTTATACAAACAAATCACCTGTGCATAGTGGTAATGTTACCTCTATATTTCCTAACAGATATGTTGGGCACAATATTCTTTAAAGGGAAATGATGGGGCAGGGGTAAGGCCTTCAACTCCAATGGCATGATATGTTTTCAATTGGGTTTTCCGTCTAAAAAAGAGGCGTGAATGTATGTACTATTTGTGAAGCTATGGCAGGGAGCAAGTGTGTGATACAAGAGGGAAATGGAAAAGGAGGGGCGCTGGAAAGCCAAGTGGGTGGATCACTGATCTGTAACCATCAGGGGCCTCTAAATCAGTCCCAACATGGACAGGCTGAAGATTTACTCAAAAAGTCTTCTGAGATTCCCTCCCGGTTGGTTGGTTGGTTGGTTGGTTGGTTGGTTTTGTTGGAGACAGAGCCTCACTCTGTAGCCCAAAAGCTGTCCTGGTACTCACTATGTAAGCCATGTTGGCCTCAAACTCCTCTTGCTTCAACATCCCAAGTGCTGGGATTACAAGTTTAAGGACCCATGCCAGACTCAAGTTTGCCTCTTCTTAAGACAAAGTAGAGTACTGACCCAATATCGTACGGTTACCATGAGCTGGGAAATTCCCCCAGGTCTTTAAATGCCAGCCATGTGATGGCTAGACATGTGTAAATGGTCAAACACACAGAATTTGGAGAAAAGCCTGGGCAGGAAAAGGAGAGTAACACTCTAAGCAGGTATTGCAAAACTCTGGAACCATCTACTATGGCAGAACTGTATGATGGGCTTGAAACAGCAGAGAGAGGCAGAAGGAGCTGGCATTGAGCCTGTGAAATAAACTAAGCTGTGGACTCGTAAGCAACAATGTCCTCCTCTGAATCATTATGAGACAAAACTTTCTCCTGAAATAATTTCGAATTCTGAATTCAAAAACAACAACACATTTTCATCTTTTTAAGGCAATTTTGAGTGGCCAGGGGAAATGACTCAGCTGGTAAGGTATCTGCTGTGCAAAGCATGGCTATCTGCATTAGATCCCCAGGAGCCATGGAAAAGCCAAGGATATTGCCATGTTCTATACCCTGGTCAGCCAGTCTACCTAAAACAGCAAGCCCTGGGTTTAGAAAGAGACTCAAAGCTAAGCTAGATGATGGCCAACACTGTCCTCCACACAGGCACAGAGGAACATGCACATGTGGGGAGACCACTCCCATACTTTCCCCAGGGCACTCTTGAGGAGAGAGGGATAAGAGATATTAGTAGAAAGATAGAGGAGAGAGAGACAGAAACACAGGATAGCCTTGGGAAGGCCTGGATCAATATCTGCCGACCCCTTCTATGTCTTCTAAAGGGCCTTTTATAGAAATGCCAAGGGGTGGTGTAGTGGGTAGCCATTCCAGCTTGGATCTGGAAGTTCCAACCCCCATTGAGACTCTGGCAACTGTCACGCCTACGAGGCGGGGCGAAGGGAGGTGCCTGGGGACCCGAGAGCTGGATGGGCCAGCGCTCTCTCGGTGCTGGGACGCTGAACTGTGAAAGGTGGATTGTGCAGAGCTCCGGAGAACACCGCTGGATTGCAATACACCTTCCCCAGACCCTGCGACCTACCCATTACTTAATTTGTGAGTTATGCCATTAAATAAATATCCTTTTAACTACGTAGAGTGGCCAAAATAATTTCTCCAATATCTGGTGCTCACGTGGGGCAAACTCCAAAGGCCAGGGCGGCAGCTCCCGCCCTCTCCTCCCTAGCTGGCGGGTACCTAAACCCGCCTGCAAAGTTCCATATAACCAGGGAACACCTACACAGTTCCATTCCCGAAAAGGGGAGCAGCTAGTCCTATCTCAATTCCCTAGCTTAGCCCCAGACCAGCGAAAGAGGCAGGGGAGTGCTAGCTCCGATTTCCGCCATCTCCACCATTTCCACCATCTCCCTCCGACTCCAGCCAAGATCGCCAAAAATTGGAACGATGCAGAGAAGTTTAGCATGGCCCCTGCGCAAGGATGACACGCAAATTCGTGAAGCGTTCCATATTTTAGTATATGTGCTGCCGAAGCGAGCACTTTTCAGCCAGCAGGTGGCGTTGGTACAGCTCCAAAACAGGGCCTGCTGGCGAGAGAGCGCACAGAGTGAGCGCTGGCCCATCCAGCTCTCGGGTCCCCAGGCACCTCCCCTCGCCCCGCCTCGTAGGCGTGACAGTTGCCAGAGTCTCAATGGGGGTTGGAACTTCCAAATCCAAGCTGGAATGGCTACCCACTACAGGGTGGAGCAAAAGACCTCCCCCAGCATAGTTGAGTGCAGACCCTTCCAATCACCTGGTAACCACGACTGTGGTTAAGCAATCCTCTAATGCAGCCCTGCTGAGTAAAGCAAGCTCTGGTCTCACTAGCAAACCACACGCACATAAACGAATATTTCCACCAAAACCAGGCATCCAACAAGGAGACCTACTCTCTCCACTCTTGCTCAAAATAGTGATTGAAGTCTTAGCCAGAGTAATAAGATACAAGATGTTGAGATAATCTTTTTCTATACTGTATGAAGATGTGTCTCCGTCTAAGGTACAATTTGATTGATTTAATAAAGAGATGAACGGCCAATAGCTAGGCAGGACAGGATAGGTGGGACTTCTGGGCAGAGATAGGAACTCTGAAAAGAATCTGAGGTGCAGGAGATTCACCAGCCAGATGCAGAGGAAGTTCGATGCACGGTACTGAGAAGAGGTAACAAGCCACGTGGCAAAACATAAATTGATATAAACTGGTTAATTTAAGTTTTAAGAGCTAGTTGGGAAGAAGCCTAAGCTAAGGCCAAGCTTTAATAATTAATAAAAAGTCTCTGTGTCATTACTCAAGAGCTTGTGCTCCAAAGAAAGACCCATTATAACAAGAAATAAATAAAAAACAAGTATGGTGATATATTGTGTACCCTAACACAATTTGCCTGAAAACCAGAGAACAGAAAAAGCCACGAGATTAAACATAGAGGCTAGGCAGTGGTGGCACACACCTTTAATCCTAGCATTCAGGAGGTAGAGATCTGTCTGGGTCTCCGTGAGTTCAAAGCCACCCTGAGCTACATTAGATTGACTCAGTCTAGGAGAGAAACAGCCAGGCAGTGGTGGCACACACTTTTAACCCCCGTACTTGGGAATCTCATGTCTTTAATCTCAGCACTTGAGATCTTATGCCTTTGCTTGGGAAGCACACATGTCTTTAATGCCAGGAAGTGATGGCTGAATGTAGAAAAGTATATAAGGTGTGAGGAGACGGGAACTAAAGCCTTTTCAGCTGAGGAAGCTCATTCAGCTAGAGGCCTATCAGCTGAGGCTTTTCAGGCTGAGGAGTCCTAGAGGTAAGAGGTGGCTTGTTCCTTTGTCCGTCTGATCTTTCAGCATTCACCCCAATATCAGGCTTTGGGTTTTTTATTATAACATCATTTAGAATTCAATCAACAGGGATGGAGAAAAGTCAAACTGTCACTATTTGCAAACCATATGAGTCT